GGCAGGGAGGTCACAGTGGCAAAGCTGGCAGGGAGAAATGCACTGCAGGATGGGCCCAGCCTGCTTGGGTCCAAAGGCGGGGCTCGGTCACTCCAGCCTCTCCCTGTGTGTAAGAAGTTGGGAATTCAGGGGACAGGGGGGCAGGGGCAGCGGCTCAGAGAAGGCTGGGACCCCTGGCCTCCAGGAAAAGGGCCAAAAATAAATGGAGTCTCCCAGATGCAGAACTGCTACTAATCACTCAGTATGTGCCTGATTCCCTTCTCCCGGCCCAGTGCAGTTGCCAAGAACCCTGGGGATCTGACGCAGTCACGGGAGGTCCAACTGCTTTTCTGGTGGCCTGTGACAGAGATGGGCAACTTGTGTGTGTGTGTGTGTGTGTGTGTGTGTGTGTGTGTGTATGTGTAGGAGCATGCATCTGCATGGCACTGGGATTTAACCCCAGACATTCACACTGAGCTACATCCCTAACCCTTTTTTATGATTTTTTTAAAAACTTGAGACAAGTTCTCACTTAAATCCCCTAAGCTGCCCAGGATGGGCTTAAACTTGAAATCCTCTTGCCTCAGCCTCCCAGAGGGCTGGGATGATAGGCATTAGCAACCACGGCCGGCATCTTTTATAGCTTATGCACAAATTGGTAAATTACCTAGGCTTGCAGGTCATACTGTCTCTGTTACAACTAGACAAGCACGCCACTGTAGCATGAAACCAGCTACACACAACAGCTAAACAGTGGACACGTCTACTATGTTCCATACAACTTTATTTAAAAAACAGGCATCTGGCCACGAGCCACAGTTTCCCAAGTACCGGTCCCTGGGAAATCTGCTCTTCTACATACAGCAGGAGGCCACAGACCTGCAGCATCTCTCAGCAGCTCCTCCTGGGGCTAAGCACAGACAGTATGGCAAAGTCAAGGAGACGCTATGTACCCACACAGCTGTGCTTCCACCAGTGTCTGAGCTCTGCAAGCCCAGAGAAAAAACCAGAAACACAAACTTGAACTTCAAAAAAGATACAGTTTGACAGAAAATGTGGGTGACTGGCAGAACTGGTCTAGGAGTCCAGTGGCCCTGGGGTAACACACAAATACAGGGCATGGGGCCCGAGACCCCGGGTCTCTCCTCCCACCTCGACCACCACAGAATGTTAAGCTGCATAATTCAACATCCTCCAAATGACTTCCCAGAACTGACCCCCACTGTAACATTATCCGACTGACCACAGGTTTTCCATCCCTACGCCCTGCCACTATCCTGGAGGCAGCATCCCAAAAGCAAACCAGACAGGATTCCCCCAAACCCGTCTAGACGCTGGTTCCTATTTCCACCCATCACTAAGGCTGCCAGTTGGGAGCTTCCGGGAGCTGCCCAGTTCCTTTCTCTCCTCTCCCAAGGCTCCGCCCTAACCCAGCACCTCCGATTTGACACGTCGCCCCTTTCTGCTTAGGGTCCCAGACCCAGGCTTCTGACAGCGCCAGATCTCCCCCTATATGTTCATTCTCCTTCTGCCCACCATAATCTCTTCTGGGTCAAGGGCCAGTGTTCCCTCTTCTGGCTCGCAGACCCTCACTAGCACACTGCTAAATCCTGCGGGAACGAATCCCAGCTTTCACCAGGAGGCACAACACTCAAGAAACCTTGCCTCTTCGTTTTTCCTACAGCACCAAGTCCAGGCTGTGGCGCTCAACCGGCCTCCATGGCCTCGCTCACCTGTCCTTCCCTCAGCTACTGCCCCACAGAACAAGCCCATCCATCCCTGCCCGCCGGAGCCAGTCTCTCCCGCATCCACATCTCTGCCCACGCTCTGCTCTCCCGGCCTGCGATGACGTCCACAGCCTGCCCCTACCTACTCCAACTCCTACGCAACTGCCGACTGCGAGCTGGGGGTATAGGGATGCAGAAAGGGGGCGGACTACTGAAACGGAAAGGGGGGCGCACAGGGCTGGTGGGTCTCCAACCCCTGGGAGCATCATCCTCCCAATGGGTCACAGGCGATCAGAGAAGGAAGAGTCGGGAGGAGGAGCCAGATTTTTCCACTGAATGAAAGGCATGATTTTCATCCCTGCTTCTGTTGCCCCGGTAACCAGGGCCAGCCCAGTGGAGAGTACAGTAAAAGAACACCATGTTTATCTTTGAGGCGATCCACTTCCCTGACCATCCCAGCCACCCAGAGCTGCCGCGAAGCCTCGTAATGGGACCGCCGAGTTCCTGGTCTCTAACGCTCAGAACCTCAAGACCTGACCGTGCTCCTCCTCTTTGCCAGACCTCTGTACCCCGTGTGCCTCTGCTGCAACCCTGGAGGTCATCTCACCACATGCACCTGCCCTGCCAACAACTGGCCTCAAAAGACAAGCACGACGCCCCCTCTAGCACAGAGTCCCCGGACGAGAATTACTAAAGGGACAGCGGCAGGGGGGCCCCAGCGACCCCTTTCCTTTCTCGGCCCCAGGCAGTGGGTGCGGAGTGGGGCCGGCTTTCCCAGCGCCCTCCCCCCCACCGCCGAGGCCGGGATTCAGGACCAGAGCCAGGCTGGAGTGGGGGCACAGGTCCATCCGCGGGCCCCACGATGCTGCCTCCCACGCGGACAGCGTCTGCGCGACCCGAGAGTAGGTTATGTAAGCGTTACATAACACGGCGGCACCAACACGCGCAG